TCAAAGACTCCTCTTTACAAGTGGAATCTTATCCTGCACTTCAATTTCTCCAACAGGTAAGAGTGGTGTCACTTTAACAAAAGTAAGGAAGGCAAAGCCATTCTCGCCTTCCTCCCCGACAGACCCCAGAATCTTCCCAAGAATTCAGGGTTCCATGGAAGACAGCCTGAGAATCACTGAGGTCGACACAGAGATTGCCATAGACCCAGCAGATCTTATTTTCTGAAAATCACTGGACAAAATATCTACTGATGTTCTCGTAGACGAAGGAGGTAAATACGACTCATAATATAGTTAAGCAATACATTTTCCTGTCTCTACTGGATGGAGTCTGTATCTGGTCCTGTTGATCTGACAGCTTTCACTGGTAGCTCGGATGACGTCGTCAACGTCCCCTATGAAACCAACGGGGAACAGTGGCAGATTATCGCCAGATGTAATCCAAGACCACATGAGCTGCAAGCAGCTCAGGAATACGCATGTCCAAATGCAGAATATTTTCCATAGAAATCTTTTTTGAAGGAGTCCAAGGACTCAAAACTTCATCTTAATTTAAGAAACCCCAAAGTTAGCTCACCTCCCTCCTAGGACGGAGTTAGTTTTCCAGTTGTATGCTCCTCAGGCTGCAGAAATGGATTGCTCCCAAGACCACAAGGTTGCAATGCCAAAATTAGAAGAAAAGGAAAGTACAAGAAGCCAGAGTGAACTAGAAATTAAATAATCTAGAAACAGATACTGAAACCCGGGTAAGAAGCCAAGAATGCAAAACCTGGGAGACAGGTGTTAACTGATCCAGGGATCCCAAGGAGAGGTCTGGGTCAAGTGCTGTTCTTCGTTTCGCTTAAATAATGGCCAAGGTGTGGAGCCTGGGCTGATGGCCAAGTGTGAGGTCTGGGAATAGACACAGTTCTCCCCAAGGTAGGACAGGGTTGGCATCTTCCTGGTTAACCCAGTGGGAGGTTGTAGAAAGGTGCAGGCTATTCTGGAGGTGAACAGGGGCTTACATGGCCTCTTTCAACTTCTAAGTGCTCCTACAAATACACTAAGTAGTTGAACTGAGTCGGTGTCAAAAGCAATCTTCAGGCTCTTCCACTCTGTATGTGCTGTGGGGCTGAGGGCAGGGTCGGCTGGCCCCGTGAAGCCAGGAGGCGGTGGGACCTGGGGCAGGTGGGCCACCGGGAAAGACCGGCTGTTGGAGCCCTGCTGGTTTCCGGGAAAGCATCACGTTCGTGCTGGAGGGAGAAGGCTCAACAGTCCTAACTCACCTATAACAGAATGAAGTGATAGCCCATGGAAAATGTTTAGAACAATGTGCGGTGAAACAGGACGTGTTCAGAAATATTAGCTGTTACAGTCAACCCTTGAACAACACAGATTTGAACTCTGTGGGTCCATGTATACATGATCTCAATAAATACAGTACAGTAAGTGCTGTGAATGTATTTCTCTTCCTTTTGAGTTTCTTAGTAACATTTTCTTTTCTGTAGCTGACTTTACTGTAAGAATAAGGCCTAGAATACAGATAGCATTCACAGTGTGTGCTCAGTGACTGTGTTATCGGGAAGGCTCCTGGTCAGCAGTGCGTTGTTAGTAGTTAAGTGGATTTTTGACGCAGGCCACTGGCACCCCTAAGCCCCCCGTTGTTCAAGGGCCAGCTGTGTTTTATTATTACAGTATCACCACCATGATCATCATATCATCTTGGGATTATCATCCTGCCACCTGTCAACCCTCCAGGTACTGGTCAGCTCCCAGGTGCTGATAGAGAGACATCATGGAACCATTAAGTGGGACTGTTTCAGCCTAAATCTGGAATAAGGGCAAGGCTAGGTCTAGAAAGTATATGAATGTCATCTTATTTTTTTTTAAAGATTTTATTTATTTGACAGAGTGAGAGCACGAGCAGGGGGAGCAGCAGAGGGAGAGGGAGAAGCAGACTCCCCGATGAGCAAAGGGAGAAGAGAGAGCAAGGCAAACCAAGAAACTGACTCTGAACTACAGAGGACACACTGAGGGTGATCAGAGTGGAGGTGGGTGGGGGATGGGGGAACAGGTGATGGGGCTGCAGGAGGGCACCTGTCATGATGAGCACCGGGTGATGGATGGAAGTGTTGAATCACTGTATTGTACACCAGAAACTAATATTACACTGTATGTTAACAACATTGGAATTTAAATAAAAACTTACAAAAATACATGTAGAGCTAGATCGATTGGGTAACCATACGGAAAAAAATAAAATAAGCTTTAAAAAAATATTTCGAGGTGGATCATAAACATACATGTAAAAATATTTCCATAATTCTGTGTAGGCAAAAAAAATGGTACAAAAATGAGAATTGTACTTCATTAAAGTTCAGAATTTGTGAGCATCAAAGCTACAAGCAAGCTCTAGACAAAAAGGAAAATATTTGAGGAGTGCCTGGCTGGCTTAGTTGGTGGAGCATGCTACTCTCAATATTGGGGTCATGAGTTCAAGCCCCACAATGGGCGTAGAGCTTACTTAAAAAAAAAAAAAGGAAAATATTTGCAATGCATAAATTTGGCAATGGACTTATATCCAGACTAAAGATTTTCTAAAAATAAATTTTAAAATATGAACAATGCTTCATGGACAAAACACTAAAGAAGACATCCAAACGGCCAATATGCATATAAAAAATTGCTCGACAACAACTATCAAGGAAATGCAAATTCAAAATCAGAATGAGAAATATAACCTCAGCAGAAAGCCTAAATTTTTTTTTAAAAACTGATACTATGTATTGGCAAGAATGTAGAACAATTAGAAATTTCACTTAAGCTGGTTGGAGTGTAAATTGATCTACTTTAGAAAATGTTTTGGCAGTAACTAGTAAAACAAGACCTACTTATACCCTATGACTGAGCTCTTCCAATGCCTTATATATTTCCAAGGAGTAAGTGTGAGTTCATCAAAAAACATGCCCCAAAATGTTCATAGCTGCTTTCTTAATAGCTTCAAACCGTAAACCCAAAAGGATCAGCTGTGGCAGAGTAATGCAATGGAATAGCAATAATGAAAAATAATGCACATCTTCCTCAACTTATAATAGGATTCCATCCCAATAAGCCCATTATAAATTGAAAATATCATGCGTCAAAAATGCATTTACTACATGTAACCTACCGAATATCGTAGCTTAGGCTAGCCTACCTTAAGTATGCTCAGAACACTTACATTAGCGTACAACTGGGCAAAAGCATCTAACAGCCTACTGAACTGTTGAGTATCTCGTGCAAACCATTAGACACTGAAACTGGAAGAACGGAGCAGTTGATGGGCGCGCACTGGTTATGAGTTTACGGGCTCTTTACCTTCATGATCCAGTGGCTGTTGAGACCACATACCACTAGCCCAGGAGAGATCAAAACTCAAAATTCCACCTAGTTCCTACTGAACCAGTAATGCGTCCCACCCTCGTAAAGTCGAAAAAATGTTCAGTCGAACCATAGTAAGTCCAGATACACTGCTATTAGTTGAAACAACAAAAACTATAGAAAAGTTAATTTTCAATAGAAAATAGGAGGTATTTGCTTCAGGGCGCCTGGCTGGCTCAGTTGGTAAAGCGATGGGACGCTTAGTCTCACAGTTCTGAGTTCAAGATCTATGTTGGGTATAGAGATTACTTAAAAATAAAATCTTTAGGGCGCCTGGGTGGCTCAGTCGGTTAAGCGGCTGCCTTCGGCTCAGGTCATGATCCTGGAGTCCCCGGATCGAATCCCGCATTGGGCTCCCCGCTCAGCGGGGAGTCTGCTCCTCTCTCCAACCCTGCCCCCTCTCATGTGCACTCTCTCTGTCATTCTCGCTCTCTCAAATAAATAAATAAAAATCTTAAAAAAAATAAAAAAATAAAATAAAATCTTTAAAAAAATTAAAAATAAAATATATATAGGTGTGTATTTGTATCAGCCAGCACTCTCTACTGGAGTGTGTACGGAAAAAATCTTTTAGCCTTCAGATGAAAATCGAAAAGAAAAAAAAACCAAATGGTAAAAGAGAATAGTTTTCCAACTAGTCATACAGACTTGTGACTTCCAAACTAAGCTTAATTAATTCAAAATAATGTCTTCGGAAATGTGAGTCATGAAGCTTAAGCAGAACACTGAGATAGCAGACTGCAGATTAGGAAATTAACCTATGCTGAGTAATTATGAGTAAGAGTCAATTTCAGTAAGAATGCACCTGCACTTCTCTCAGGCACCCCTCTTTCGCCGGACCGCTGCGCCCAGACCAGGAGCGGGAGCGCGGGGCTGCAAGAGGCCTGGGGGGCGGGAGGGCTGCCCCGTCCTCCGACTGGCCCCGCCCCCTCAGGCCCCGCCCCCACCCCGAGCCCAGCCCCCTCCATGTGGCCACGCCCCCGCCCCGAGCCCAGCCTCCTCCGCTTGGCCCCGCCTCCTCCGCGAGCCCGGCCTCCTCCACGTAGCCCCGCCCCCGCCGGGAGCCTGGCCTCCTTCGTATGGCCCCGCCCCCGCGGAGTGTCTGGCCTCCTGGCCCCGAGCAACCGTCTCGCCCCTGCCACGAGCCCTGCCTCGAGCCCTGCCTCCTCCGTGTGGCCCCGCCCCCGCCGCGAGCCTGGCCTCCTGGCCCGCAGAAACAGCCTCACCCCGCCCCTCCTGCGAGCCCTGTGTACTCCCCGTGGCCCCGCCCCCCAAAGGCCCCGCTCTCGCCGTGAGCACGGCCTCCTCAGCGTGGCCCCTCCCCCGCCTCACCCAGCCCCGCCCCGCCCCACCCCCACCACGATCCCGGCCTCCTCCATGTGGCCCCGCCCCGCCGCGAACCTGCCCTCCCGCGCCGGAGCCGCCCCGTGGCCCCGCCCCCACCCCGCCCCACCCCCGCTGCAAGTCTGGACTTCTCGCCCTCAGCCACCTCCTTGCCCCGCCCCCGCCGCGAGCCTGACTTCCTCTCCCAGAGGATGCGCGTGGCCCCGCCCACTGCCGCAGCGGGCTGACGCCTGGTCTCCGCGTCTCCATGGAAACGGACCGCACTTCCGCTGAGCTATAGGCGGGCGATGGCGGCCGGGGAGCCGGGGGATTTGGGCGGCTACTACTTCAGATTCCTGCCTCAGAAAACCTTCCAGTGTCTGAGCACCCCCGAGACCACCAGCCGCCTCCGCCAGTGGTGAGAGTCCGCGGGCAGGGCGGAACGAGCCCTCCTGCCGCCGGCGGTGGGCGGCAGCGGCGGCGGAGCCCGAACTGCGCGCAGGCCCGCCTCCACGGGGAGGGGGGAAGGGGAGAGTGCCGGGAGCGCGCCCCGCCGACCGCCGCCGGCCAACACCGCGCGGACCTGTTTCCCCGCCCGGCTCCCTCCCCGCGCTGACCCCTCCCACCGCCTCACGCTGACCCCGCCCTGACCCCCCCCCTCCCTCCCCGCGCCGACCCCGGCCTGATCCCTCCGCTCCCGCCCCGCGCTGGCCCCACCCCCTCCGCCCGCGCTGGCCCCACCCCTCCGCCCTGCGCTCACCTCTGCCCCCACGCTGGCCCCGCCCTCGTCCCCCCCGCCCGCTCCGCCCCGCGCTGACCGTCCCCTCCCCCCACAGGTCCATGCTGGGCAGAGTCGCGGCGCAGGCGTTCGGCTTCGACCAGACGTTCCAGGCTTACCGCAAGGACGAATTCGTCATGGTTGGTGTGAGGGTGGGGGGCGCCGGGCGGCCGGGCCCCGGCTGGAGACGGGGGCGCTCACCGCGGGGGTAGTCCCCGCCCCCCAGGCTGGCCGGTGGAGGTGACCGCGTGGGGAAGGGGAGGTGCCCGACTGGGCGAGTTCGGGGCCGTCGTTAGACCCCCACGCACACGGGAAAGGGTGCTCTGTCCGGAGTGCGCGGGGGCTGCGGGTGCGCGGCGGCTGCGGGTGCGCGGCGGCTGCGGGTGCGCGGGGGCTGCGGGGTGCGCGGGGGCTGCGGGTGGCTGCGGGTGCGCGGGGGCTGCGGGTGCGCGGCGGCTGCGGGTGCGCGGGGGCT